ACATTCTTCCTGCACAGACTCTATATTTTAATTCTTTTCAGCTTGTTGTCTAGGGAAGATGTCCACATGACCCCAGATTGAAAAGACACGTGGCAATGGGCCATGAGGCCACAGGCTCCCTTCTGATCCCCTGCGGTCAGCTCCGCTCTGAAGAAGTGGCTGCCCTCCCGGAAATGACCCGCACCTGAACTGCAAACTACGCCTGTCAAGCTCTGTCCCCAAAATTCAACTAAGGTTTTGATTCGAGTTGAACTGAATTGATGGATGAATTTCACAGGAAAAGGCATCAATATAGCAACAAACTTGCCTTTTCCGTAGTTAAAATGCTTTTTATTTGGGTCTGCTTTTGATATTCATTTAGCTCTTCTGCATTTTTATAACAGTTAGGCTTAGGGCTTTTATACTGTTATAATGGAATCTAGTGAAACATAAAAATGATTTTTTATCTATCCATCTAATGTGCCATTTTATATTTTCACATCTTTTATCTGGACCAGCGGTCCTCAACCTGTGGGTCGTGACCTCTTTCTGGGTGGAATGACCCTTTCACAGGGTTGCCCGATTCATTAACAGTAGCAAAATTATAGTTATGAAGTAACAATGAAAGTAATTTCATGGTTGGGGGGGTCACCACAACATGAGGAACTGTATTAAAGGGTCGCCGTGGCCTTAGAAAGGTTGAGAACCACTGCTGTAGACAATTGGCAGTTGAACTCTCTCCTTTTAATGGTTATACTACTTTTCTTAAACCTAATTTATTGGTTTACTAAGACTTTTAATCACGTCCAAGGAATCAAATCAGTGCTAGGAGGTGGCACCACCCTTGTCCTACTTCTAGGTATAACGCTAGCTACATGTTCCTAGTGGCTACCTTTCTGTGTATTTAAGTTTCCATGTATTCTAACTACTGAGAGTTTTCATAGCAATGAGTACTGAATTTAATCAGAAGTTTTTCACCATCTACTGAGATACTCTAATGGCATTCCTCCTGTAATCTAGTACAGTCAGCAGACTTCCTGATGCTGAACCACTTTTACAGCCTCAAAGTCAACCCTACCTGGCTCTAATGAATGATTATTTTTTTAAACTTTATTTAGTCTTTTCCCATTGTGTTCATAAAGAAGACTAGAGCCTGCATTTTGGAAGTCCTTGAATGTCAGGCTAAGAAGTGTGCGTTTCTTTGCTTGAAGAAGCCTGTACACAATGAAGACTTGTTAATTATCTTGGCTGCCTTTGCCAACCTTACCAAGGCCAGGCCAGTGCTGAGAATTATCTTTGGCTAATAGCCTGGCTCTGGTCTCTGCTGTCTACTGTCGAAAGCTTCTGA